AATAATTGAAATACTTGAAATGAGGCCGATTTCAATTATTTCAATTCTTGGGTGGCCCAAATAATTGAAATAATTGAAATCGGCCGGATTTCAATTATTTCCTTATTGAAATCGGGGGGGTTTGGTGGCAAAACCACAAACCCCACCGATTTGAATTATTTCAATTCTTGGGTCGCCCAAATAATTGAAATAATTGAAATCGGTCCTGCTGATTTCAATTATTTCAAGTATTTATATTCTTATTAGTCATATAGGGCAAAAATAGGGCGTCAAATAGACCCTAGAGGCGCCTCTCTCTCTCATATATATACTCATACATATATATATATATATAGAGATTCACTAGACTTGGCAGCTCGTGTGCTGCTTGCTTTCGCGGCCCGTTTGGGAGAGGCGTGACCGAGTTGCATCTGAGCTCAGGATAGCGATTTGATGCCTGTGAAGTACATCTCGATCTCTCGCCTCTTTGCACACACCCAGCCGCGGTCGGCGGATTTCCAAGACACCTGCGAGGAGACTCCCTGCAACTTGACGGACATTTCTGCGTTTATCTCTGTGACTCAAGCAATCAGCTGGCCTGTAGACGTACAAGTTTGAGCAACGTGGTCGGGTTTACGAGCTGTCATGTGGCCCAGTGGCCTATGAATCACCAAGACCTGCGTGCCTCACGGCACTTCATCTTTGGATCCTCAGGTTTGGAACACCCTTTACAATCGGGTATCGCATGTCCGAAAGCATCTCCACTCCTGAAATGTCTGAGGACAAGGCTGCCAGAGTTGCCCGCAGTGGTGCAAGAAACGCCTCAGCATCAGAAAAAACACACCATCATGTCGCGGGAAATGTGCACCATGCCATATTCTTGAAGCCACGAATTTGAAGAAGTTGACAAGCATGTAGCGACGCGACTGTTCCCCAACCATGACCCTGGCTTTCTGCAGTGGAACTGGAGCATCCTCTGACATGTGTGTTGCGACCAGGCGACCAGCCTCAGAGACCCTGTGCCCATGCAGTCGCAAAGACTCCAACAAAACCGCTTTCAGGATGATGATGGCAACAGAAAGATGTCGGAACCCCTTGAATGATCATATTCCGCCTTGTGAGGTGATATTTCTGGATCGATTCCGGCACAATGTAGTGGTCTTGGCAATTCTTGGGAACTTCCCATGCCTGTTACCGTTTCGGAGAGTATGCCGAACACCGCGAAGAAGCTTGTAGAGGCGCAGTGGGGATTCCCATGGAAGTCGTTGCGATGCAAAAAATCAAGAAAAGCGTGTTGGAGAACCCACTCCCTTCAGGATCTTTCTTCCTCAAGTCATAAGCTTTAGGTACAGAGGGTTCCCATACTCCTCTTCTCATTAGGTTGTCGTTCTCATCAGCGATTTCAAGGCTCTTGATTCCCCAGAGTTCATTGTCTTCAGTACCTGCACGTCTTTGTGACTGGATTGTCGCGGTGCTTGTTTGAACTTTGGTCTGTCAACCTGCTGCATAGCTGCACTTCAGAAACTTCAACGCTACCGAAGCGAAACTGTACCCCTTGCACATCCTTTCACCCCTGAACCATCCTGGACGCCTGGGGCCCCGGACCCTCTCCGTAGGCTTAGGGCCGGCGCTGGCGACGCGGCTCCCGCCCAGTAGAGACCTCCGCGGGTCCACGCGGCTCCCAAGGTTGCGTGGGGCGGCTTTCCTCAGAAGACTCAGCAGTTTTAGCAGCCGGCCAGCCTGGAGATGCTCGCCTGCAGGCACTGCAGGCATCAGGCTTTCAACGCCGAGCCTTTAAGGTCTCTTCCCCACTGCAAGGTTTTGCCTGATTGGAGAGCCGCAGCGCGTGGTTGGTGTGGTTGTAGTAAACGAACCGATACTCATCCTGGCTTTGAGAGAACGGAGTACTGACGTCCCATCACACGTGCAGATGTGTGCACCCCGCTACCGTGGTGCAAAGAGTTGGGAACAGCAGACGACCCGATCTTCTTGAAAGGGCTTGGGGCTTCGGTTCTGTTTTTGCAGGCACTTTTCCTCCTCGCCGGAGTCAGAAGACCAGTGGTCGACACGCTGAGACCTGAACCCGGAACCCGAGCAACACCGCCGTCCTAAGCTGCACTGTGCCTCTCAGAACCAGCGGAAGTATCGGCTGAAAGTGTTCTTGAGGAGTGCTCCCACGTCGAGTGGATGCTCCACCGGCTCTGACAAGGGGTATGGACGCATTCGCTTGGCGGCTGTGGACACAGGCAAATTGGGCAGTTGGGTCATTTCCCCTTCGTCCAGGCTCGCTCCATCCAGCGCAGCCCTTTCACGCTCGGTGAGTGAGAACATCCTCTTCCGCTGCTCCTTGGATTGTCCATCCAGGAAGGAGCGTTCGTTCTCCGAAAGGTAGCTCGGATCAACTCCGTTGAGGATGTCCAATCTCGCGAGTTGGAGACGTTCTGTGTGGGAGGTGCACTGGCTGCTGCAAGGCTGAGGCTTTCCTTTGGATGGTGGTGGGCCTTCCTCCTCTCTTTCGTCACCGCCGCAGGGGTAGAAACTGATGTGGCCTTTCCCCATCAATATGCTGCTCATGCCAAGGCTGGGGCTCGGGGCCACGGTTTGGTTGGGCTTCGAAGTCTGTGTGTGCTGGGCGCTCTCGCTTGAAGCAGGCCGATGTTGCCAGGCTTTCGCCTCAGGAACCTTTGTGAGCTTCTTGCTGTTTTTGCTGCTGACATCAGTGGGCTGCAGCCCAGGTACCAGCGGAGCTTCACCTTCCATATTTACGAAGCCTGCTTCAGCCTTGCGCAGTGAGGTCTCCGTTGCTGCAGCTCGCTTGCATCTGGCTCACGGCCCAACCTTGAGGCTACAGCTATATAGTGCTCAATTGCAATCTGTCGATTCCTGCTAACTGATCCTATGTCCCTGGGTCCTACAATGCCCTAAAGTATCCTGAAACCCGCGAAGCCCGCCTCAAAGATTCACTGACTACGGGATTGGCGAGGCCGTGCACTGCTGAGCCGAAAACACTGGCGAATCCTAGTGGACCAAGCTCGAACAGAGAGAAGGGCAATCGTTTTCTTTCCCGCTAGACCTGGGATGAGCCAATGCTGGCATAGCTTTAGGGTTGATTAATGCAGAAGGTCTTAAAGAGTGCTGCGGCTCCTCAGGCAAAGCACAGCCAGCTCTAGCAGCACTAGCATCAGCACCTCTTGCTCCATGACCTGGGCGTACTGCGGCACGATGAGCGGATGAAGCTCTGCCAGTGAGAGGCCATCGCCCTGGATGCCAAGCTGACACGTGGGGAAGTCTTCTGGCAGCCATTATCATGCCCGAAAGACACTTGCTCTCATCTCGACCAGAACAACTAGTGTTGGACATCATGACTTGGAAACACTTACAGAGAGTTTGCCGCTCAAGGAGAAGAGCATGAGTCTGCTCCGGCGAATAACTGAAGTGTACATCACCCGCAAATCCAGGAAACAAACACATGTGGGAAACTGCCTCAGCCCCCCACAAATCCCAGAAGTCAAAAAACTAAAGTTTAGCCTGCCGGACCTTCGCCGCCACTAAGCACCCAGACGATCCCCAACGTAGCTCGGGGAGCCGGCCGAACTTCGGCTGCAGAAATCCCGCAAAGACTCCAACAGCCTCGTGGCAAGGAGCAGGGTAGCGTCGCAGGATGTCGCAGGTGAAAGGGCCACAATACTAGCTTAAGTCCAGCCGGGCACACCTGTGCGCTCACTGTCGTTGCAAAGCTATGCGGAGCGCACATGTCCAACAGTTGGATAAGATATGATGCCCCAGTCTCTCGCGTTCACCAAACTGCACAGTTCTGGAGATCCACTGAGACCAGAGCCTCGCATCTATGTGAACCTCCGCGTCGAAGATCAAGACGAGCATGATCTGCCAGTGCGCGGCAAAACAAGTCTCAATTAATGTGTGGCTAAAGCCCTCGTGCTCGAACTCTCCCGGCCCCGCGGAAAGTGAGTGCCACCAACTGCCCTCGCCCGGCATCCTCGGTGGTGACGCTCTACCAAAATCACTCACAGTCTTCAGTTTCTGAACAATAAACCTTCTTGTCTGTGTCGACGCTGTGCAGCTGAGATTCCAGATGCAAAGCCGGGACGAAGAGCGAAGCGGGCCTGTCATGTCACGCGAGAACACAGCCTCTATGTCTGAGAGGATCGCTACTGCAAGGTGACAAACTCAAGCTTCGCATGCTTGAATTTTGATGCTGACGTGCAGAAGCCGAGTTGACTTGACTGCAGTCACGAAAACCGAATGCCCAGGGTCGGGCTTGACGGATGCGAGGTCTGCAGCTTTCGATACAGGCCTTGGGCAACCTCTTCCCGTTTCGGAGACTTCCCTCTTCAGAAAAGACCGTTGCTCACGGATGCTCATAGCCCAGGCTCAACCGGGGTCCTCTGGTGCAGTCCTTGGTGGAGTATGGCTCGGCTTGTGTTCCTTCTTGCATCAAAAAAGAAAGGGAGCCCGGCTCCGGTGGCTCCGGCAGCGTCTCTCCGGACCAAAGCCAGGCGCCCGCCGCGCCTGCCACCTGCCAATAGCTGCCAATGCCCAATCGCGTCTTCTCTCTGTTTTGCTGCAAGCTCGCACGGAACCGGCTTGGGCCTGGTTGATGTGCAGGAGGGGAGAAGGGACGGAGGAATGTTCCACCTGTCAGGATCTCCCTGATGTGGCGTGTTGACGCGACAATGCACACGGTGTGGTATTGAGTCAGTGTTTCATCACGGTGAGTCAGCTCTACAATCAAAGACAACACATGCAGCAGCACCAATCTGCGCTCTGCTGGAGAAAGGTTCAGCAGCGTGCAGAGAACGGGCACCAGAGACCTCAATCGGCCCATGTTTGAAGCTTGTGAGCAAGTCCAGCAGTTCTGCTGCAAGGATTCCTGTGGGCTTGCCCCGTCTCATGCCGGCTGCCTATTCCCTGCTCGGCTCGGCTCGACAGCCCGAAAAACTTGCATGGGGGCCTGACTGAGATTTCAGATCACCCTTCTGGCAGTACTCGATATACTTGAGCACGACATGCTTCAAGTAATCTCCTGCGACTGGAGGTTGGCCTCGTTTTACATGCCCCCCCCCCCTAGTATGGCCCCTGCCGAACCTCTGGTCCCGTCACATGCATCAATGCACTAGCACAGCGCTCCTGCCACATGGGTTCGGCCTTGGCTGGACTCCAGCTCTCGTATACGATCCTTGAGAACCTGCCACGTGCCACTCTCCAAGGTTCAAGACACCAGATTCTTTCAACGACAGAAAGAGCCTTCTCCTGTGCATAGCTCATCTGCAGCATCTTCTGCAGTTCGGCTAAGGACTGGTTCAGTTGATGGACCTGGCTGGAGTGACGGTGCTACGAGTATCTGTAGCGCTGATAACCGATGTTCCACGGCACCAGTTTCAGAAGAGCTGGAAGCGCACAGAATCGTCTGTGTCTGTGTCTATATCCGCTTCTCGAAAGGCTGTATGTTTCAATTTCATGTAGCCCACCCCGTCGTGATTTGCACAATATGCACAATCCACTACAGACTGTATTGTACAGCCGCTGCGCACGGATCGAAGTTTTTTCATCCATTTCCTCCGCTCCTGCTTGTCTTCTGTCTGAGCAAGCTACCACTGCACGTGTGAATGAAGGCGACGGAGGTTGGTGCCCACGTTCGTTCTTGGCCGTAGGCAACCACAACAACAACCAACGCTCTTGTTGTTACACCTTCTCACGTCTCTTACCTCCAAAACCACCGAGCTGTCGGGACAAGCTCTTTCTGCCACACACAGTTGCACGCCTGCGTCCAGTGTCGCTTGAGCGTGTGCGTGAACCCAGAGAGCATCACAGAGCCCAATACTCCCTAATTAAGGAATTAAATTATATGTCAGGTTTATTCCACAATTAAATGGTCTTGGGCCAGCTTTTGCCCGATCTTCCATTCGCCACAAAAGTTTGCACCCCCCACCCACCCCACCCACCCACCCACCCACCCACCCACCCACCCCCACCCACCCAC